TAATCACTGTTTCATAATCAGATAGAAAATGCTTTTCACAGACAACAGTGTTTACTTTGTCATGGTTGTTGTCTCGAGGTATTGCCTTTAACCATCGTTCTTGTTCATACTGATCTTGGGGAAAACAAAACAAAATACACAAACCTTAACTTATGTTACTCCCAGTTGTCTTTAAAGAATTACATGGTTCCAAAGGATTTCTAAATTGTTTCACTGGTCAGTGTCTGTTTTATATGTAAGTTACAGAGTGAACTGAACCTTCCTCATTAAAATTTTTGGGTAATTGTATTTTGTGGGGGGTGCATATTGATCACCTCCTTCCCCATAAAATATGATTATCTAAGCAAAATTAACCAGTTTAATATTTTTACAGTATTTTTTTTTTTTTAATATTAAACTGGTTAATTTTTTGTTTTACATTTTTAACAAGAATGCTAGTAAAATTCAATATACACTTTTTTTAAATACTCGTCTGTAAATAATAATTTTTTAAATCAATTCTTATTCAATTTTTTTCAAATGCGCAAATTTCTGTAGTCATTTTTGAAAATTAGCTATGCAAAAAGTTATTCATTTTTTGTTTTCTTACAAGGACAGTATCAATATATTTTACATATTATAAAGAAAAATTATACCTTAAAAATGAATTTTATAATCAAGATATTCATTATTATGAAGAATAATAGCATAAAGAAAAAAATATTCTTTCTTTGAGAAAATTCTTTGACATTTTTTTTTTTTGTGAATTTTGCTGATTAAAATTGAAAAAAATGTAAAAAAAAAAAAAAGATATTGACAAGACAATAGTAATAGCTGTAAAAATAAAATTTATTGAATTTAATTTTTGATATTAATTTTGTGGTAAATTCTTTAATAAGTATCATTTTTCATTAATTTTGCAGTGAAAAATGTTACCTTTGTTTTAAATGTCTTCTATTTATTAACAAATGCCAGAGAAATTCAACATACTTAAAGAAAAAAATAACAAAAAAACCTGTTTGTTTTGTTAAAGCAAAACAAATTACTCATAAAAAAATTAATTTTATACTTAATATCATTATTGTATAGAGAAAAATATTTAATTTATATTAACATTTTATTTTTATGTGATAAAATTGTTAATGACACTTGTGAATTTCACACTGAAAAAGTCTGTTTAAAGATAAAATATTACATGTTCAAATAAAATAAACAAACATTGCTTACTTTAGTATCTTGAATAATAAACTTAATCCAGAGGTAAAAAGTAAAAATTTCTTTAAATTATTTTTGCTATTTTGCAAAGTCATGAGATTATTTTTGATTTGCTTAGGCTTTTTGCTTGAATTTTGTTTTTATTTTTTTCAGGACTTTAGCATGGTTATCTTGTTTGCAGAAAATCTATAAAGGTTATTGAATCTTGTATAACTGTAAAGGTACTGAATGCACACTTGGGATGAAAAACAAATAATGCTCCTCTGTTTGATTAGTATTTTCAAATTATTATTATTGTTGTTGTTGTTTCTTTGACAACTGATCTGATTTAGAAATTTCTTAGTCAAATAGATGTAATCTATGGAAATTTTTGAATTGAGATTTATCACCAAGACTGTGGTTCTGAGTTAAGTTTCTAACTTCTGAAGTGCATTTATCATGGTATTTTTTAGTGTTTATCAAATTGATCCCGATTTAGAAATGTTCTATCTTTTATTATTTGGATATTCAAAAATAATTTGCTAATTTGCCTTTGAATAAAACTGAAGATTTCTTTTTGAAATTGTTCTATTCAAACATTCAGAAACCTTTTAGAATTCTTTGTTTTGAAACTGAAAAGAAACTTGAATCAATGGAATTGCAAAGTTTAAAAATGAATGTAGAAAAAAAACAAAAAACATTGAATTCATGATTATATCAGAGGGTACTGAAAAGTTCTTGACTTAATCAAGAAGACTCTGCCCCTTCCCCTTGCCATACTTTAATGGTTTGTCTCATTTGTTCAGATCTTTGGAAGTGAATTAGGACTAGAACTTCTCAGCATCCCCTTTTCCTTCATATAACTTTATCTCTTACTGCATTGCATTGAACGCAATAAAAACATGTTATGTAATGTATTCTCTTGAAAAAGAGTTTCAAATTGATTTAAATGTCAACTGTTTTAAAAGCCTTTACCTGCTGCTTGCTGTTTTTCTTTCAACTCTGATTCATTAACAAACAAATCTATCTTTTTTCTGGTGAAGACAGTGGTTCAAACAAAGATAGTCAAAAGAATGAAAGTAAAAGCTGTTATGGGTCAGAGTATCTCTTTAAGTCTCTTAATTTAAGCAAATGATAATCTCCAAATTAACTGGAATATGTTAATCTTGCAGATTTAACTTCCTATTTTGTTGAGATGAACCTTTTCTCTTTTATTTTTCAAATTCTGGGGCATTGGGATGAAGCAAATAAGAATAAATGGTTAGAATAGGAACAATGGTGTTAAAATTAAGAAAAATGACTGACTTTTTTTAAAGTCTAAATAGGTAGAAAGAAACCAAAATGTTTGTAGAAAGTTGAAATATGATTATTGAAATAGTTTTGAGTAATCTATCATAATTGGCTCTTTGGAAGATTTTTTTTTTTTTCATTTTGTAATCTTTGACATTTAAAAAAAAAAAAAAATAAGAATGTTCAATTTCTGGAAAATTTCAAATTATTAAAGATGATTCTGGGAAATTGAATTTGCTTAAATGTTTTCATCTTTTCCAGTAATATAACTTTAAGGAATGTAAGTGATAGTATAGTTTCCATTAGGCTTTTATTTTATGAAAAATATTAAATATTTTCTTTAAATCTAAAATTTAGTCTCAAGATTTGCATTAATATTATTTTGTGTAGTTATTTATTTTTAATCCCATTTATTGGGTCCCTCTTTGAAACCAAAGCAATTATTTTTTTATCTTAAAAGATATAATTTTATAAAATTATAAGTATATAATAAATTAAAATTATAAATAGACAACACTATGTTCTTTAATCTCAATCTGTTTTCTTAAGTCCTCTGTTTCATTCATTTGAAATCAATAATGAATATTTTTATGGCATTCTTCTGTATAAATCTGCTAATATAACCTGTGAAAGCATTTGCACTTATTAAATATTCTATATTCAGTCATAACTGTTTTTGAATAAGCACTCTAAATGTAATAAAAACAAGATAGTGTGATTTTCCCAGGGTTTTGCCAGATTATATTTTATAACTTCTACCGTATTTATAAAGATGTAAATTGTCTTCATTTATATTGTTTAAAAAAATGTGTGGTAATGATACCATAATTTTTTTTCTTTCCCTTGGGAAATGAATGTTTTGAAGAGCTGGTTAATATTCTTTATGTATAGAGAATGTTGTTGTTAATGTCAACTTCACTGTAGAGATTCATGCTACAGTGTGCAAAAGCATTAGTACCATCTTCTGGTGATGTCTTGTAGGAATAGAGCTTCTTCTATTCACTTGGAATATTGAAATCCTCAGATGACAATATAAATGAACTTGAAATGTACGTTTTTCAGCTGTAGTCATGTAGCTTGAATTGAGTAAACATTTTAGATAGTTTTGCAAATGGAGCTCCTGAAACATGTTTAAAATTGCATCATTGTTGATGTAATTATTTCTGTAAATGCTTGAGGATCTTATCAATCATGATGTACTGAATGAACTCATTATTAAAGCTATGCTTAATATTATGGTGAATGCAAAAAGAAAATAATGGTAAAAAAGTTTCTGATTTTATTTTGTAATTGAGAATTTGTAAACAAAATTCAGCAGTAAAGCTTTAATTGCATATATAGACATATTGGTTCCTCTTATAAGTTCTGTCTTTGAGATCTGTTCTTTTGAACCCTAATTCTTGGATTCAGAAGATGTTGAGGAACTAGTTATATCATGGAATGAGGTGATTCATTTATTTTTAAGTATTAATCAGACTAAATCAAAACGGAAGGGCATACACTTGGGAGGGGGTAATTCGATACAATTTGGGCTGGTTGATTCACTCATGTTAAAATTCAAATTCTAGTACAGTTTATTTTTTTTTTTTTCCTCCTTCCATCCATTATTGAGTTGTAGAATATGTACTGCATTAGTATCAGCTGCATCTCCAACCATGGGTCCCTGAGGGAGCTAATCCCTCTTCAGCCTAGTCCAAAATTCTTTGGTAGTTGCCCTATCAAAATTAAAGGATCTACTCTGCTTTGCTGTTGCCCTTCATAGCTTGGTGGAGAAGAGATAGATTATGATAGTTTATGATGCCATAGCCACTTATTATTTATTTTTTTATATTTACACTATTTACATCGTTTGGACTGTTGTCCTCATCTTTGTCATATTCACATTTTGCTCTGGCCTTCAGGTGATATGCCTTGGAATTTGGAACTGAACCCTTTATTTCCTCCCCTGGGGTAGATTATTCTAGTTCCACATACCATGTCTTTTTTTTAGATATCTCAGGGTTAGGTTTGAAATTTCAACATATATTACCTGAAGAAGGCCAGAGTGTACAATGGCTGAAATGTTGTGAATATGGCAATAAAGATGAGGAAAATAGTCCGAACAAGGTAAATAGTATAAATAGTTACAATACTTCATCTCAGAAATATAGACATTTTTTTAATATCATTTATTAAAGTTCATTTCAGTTGTATACAAGACTACACATCAGTAAATGAAATTAAGAAGTCAAGTGTCAAGGGGGAAATGTATGCCATCTTTGAAAATCAAAATTTGAAATCTTGGTTTTTACCTGGACTTGAAGACTGACCTATGGCATTGGTGGACAAGAACAACTATCTAATCTACAAGGGACAGATCATATTCCTAATATTTCTTTAGTCTCTCTCATAAACTTGTTATTTATGTAAACCTATTTTTCAATGTCACTTTCCTGGCAGGATCTCTGTAGGTTTTTAATTTTTATTAATTCTGATCTTAAACTTTCCTTTATATGAAAAATAAATGATTTGCTTATTATTTTCTTCTTTTCTTTAAGATTATGTTAAGAAAGAGGAAGATCACAGTGTATTAGACACCCAGAAAGAGCGGGAGATTGAGAAAGCTCACCATAACAAGATCCTGCATGACTATGAAGTACTGAAAAATCACTATGATAACCTTCGTCATGAGATGACAGTCTTGAAACAGACCCACCGGCGCACACCATCTGATAATAGTACAGTTAGTTTTGAATCTGCTGAAGGTGAACCTGCTGCAGTCGAGGAAGTGGGAGCAGGAGAAGATGAAGAGCGTCAAGCAGCCCATGTTGTTGCACAGGTGGTAGCTGAACCTGATGATAAAGAGGTGAGTCTCTTGACACTATTTTTCAGTTGTCATCTTCTGATGACATGCCTGTGGATAAGTAAATTGATGAAATGGACATTTTACAATTCAAAGGATACAGTACTTAACAACATACAAGAAAATGTTGCTTAGATATCAGCAGAAATTTAAAATTATTTTTTTTTTTTATAAGTAGAGAAAATATTTTTTCACTTAAGTATCCATTTGTTTTTTTTTTTTAAATTCATGATTGTTTATTGTCTGCTATACTCTTGGTATATTGTTGTGACTATTGTTTACTCCATATTGATTGGATTTAAAAATGTAGCATTTTGTGTGCCATGAAAAGGCATTAATTCAGATTTTGTTTAGTTGCGAAATTTACAAAGACTCAAATGATTGTTCACATCAAAATTGAATGGTTATTTGAGTGACTGCACCAAACTCTGCAAGTGTGGATGATTGTTGGTTTGGAAAATATAACTGGCAAACATTTGAAATTTGGATAGGGACTGTTTATGTTTGCTCCATACAAAAGGCAAAGCATGAACCCACTTCTTTTTGTGTTCTTTTCCCATTTTGGATCTAGTGATAAATGGATCATGTGACTTTTTTGTTACACTGTAAAGAGAAATAAATAATTGCTAATATATGTTTTTTGAATATTTGTTTGGTACCATAAAAATGGATTGACAATTGACCACAGAAATTGAGATATAGCCCCCTGCCCTCCAGTGTGCATAATTTCTTAACTTCTTTATTGGGTTCTACAGTTGGTTTGCTGTCTGAGTTGTGCTTGATGCTCTTTCAGTTTACTTGCACAGAAATGACGACATCTTTGAAGATTTACAATTTATTTGAATTGGGCAGAATGAAGTTAATTATGTATTTCTTATGAGTATTTCTTTTCTATCTTACAACTCTTGAAATGTCATTGCATGATAATTTCTAAGTAGTGTGGTTGGGAAAGAATTATCTCTCAGTGAGACTTGAAAGGAGACTATTTTCTCTTGTGAGACTTATTTATTTTATTGCTGATCTACACTGTTTACAAATGAATATAGAAAGACAGTCTGAGTAGTAATAAAAAAGAAATATGTTGAAAGAGATATTAGTTGAAAATTAATGATTGATAATGTTTCAGCTAACAATAAATTTAAATAATGTTGGTTATCTAATATTTGGATGAACTTCTTCATAAAAAATATTGTGTAATCCTTAGTTGCAATTGTACATTTTTTTGTTTCATAACAATCAGGTGAAATAAATCTGTAGTTTGATTGTGAAGAGTCAGGTGTAAAATTGTGTGACCCCAATAGATTTTTTATGGTGAGAAAATAATTTATGTAAAATAATTGCTGCAATACTTCCCTTGGAAACTCCAACATAATTGTGATTAACCAGTAAGACACTGTGAGCCATTCTCAGTGGCCAACAGATGATGTGATCAGCCTTGGCAGATTATCTACTTTGTCTAGGCTAGTGATTCTCAACTGGTGCTCCCAAGTAAACTAATGTGTCCTGAAAGGTAGCCAGCTTCACCCCAAGTTAACAGAAGAGTAATTTATAAATTATTTTTTATTTATTTATTTTTTATTCTTATAACAATTATGAGCTCATAAAACCTTATGATTTTGTAAAGTTAGAGACTAAACCTCAGTCATAAGATCTGAGCCTTGAAACTTGGGAAGAACATATTATATATTCTTTTTTTATGTACTAAAAATACAAAATATCTTTCCACACTTATACCAAAATATCTAATGCTTTTTTAAGAAAATAGTAAATGAACTACTCCCTAGTTTCTTCACTAATTTGCAAAATCACAAATATATGTAACATTATTTTCAGTATTCTCTAATAATGGAAAATGTAATTTCAGGAACCTAAAAATAGTACATATATATATATATATATATACACACACACAAAGAATGAATTATTTATTCCACATGAAATACAATATCTATTAAAAATCAAAGTGTTCCCTAGATTTTAGCTATTCAGCAAGTCCATCCTAGAGTAAAATAAGGTTGAGAAACACTGGTCTAGGCAAATTGGCTGTGTAAAAATTACAAAATTAAAAAAAATCAGGTGAGGGAAGTATATATCGTTCGAAACAGAACAGTTTAGTCAACTAGTTAAACATCAGAAGAGAAGAAAGGTTGGCCATCAAAACCTTACAGAGTGACATTAATATCATCATACTGCTAGCTGACAAAGGCAACACTTCAGTGGTTATGGACAAGTTGAAAAAGGATCTAACCCTAAAAACTGAGGAAATTGTCACATATCCTAAATAAGAACAATAACTACTTTGCACTGAATAAGTAGACAGCTAACTCAACATTACACCAAGCTGCCACATATATATGGTCTACCCAAGATTTACAAAGTTTGTATTCTATTGAGACTTATAGTCAGTTGCAGGTGCACAATATGCCACTTGCAGAACAGATCTCTAGTGGATATAGTCAACTCACTAACACAGAAATCCTTGTCCTATGTTAGAAACTTGGAATTCTTTTGGGAATTCATCATAGCAATTGGATGGTAAACTTGGATATGGAGAGCCTGTTCACCAGAGTTCCTACAGATGAAGCTCTGATAGTGGTTCAAAACCAATTAGAATCGGACTTGTCCCCAGGAGAATGTACTAACATCCAATAGATAATCTAATGGAAATGTTAACATTTTGTGTACAGACAACATTCTTCCAACTAGTCTGATATATTCCAACAGGAGGAAGGTATGGGTTTGCCATTGTCACTAGTGATGGAAAACCTATAGATGGAATACTTTGAGAAAATGACTTTAGGAATGGCACCACTAAAGCCAACAGTGTGGCTGAGATATGTATGACTTCTTCATACTCTGGCCTCACCAGGAAGCTGTACAAATACTGCTGGACCATGTGAACCCAATAAAAAAACTTTGATCCAGTTCACAATGGAAGAAGAAATTAATAATCAGCTAACTTTCATGGGTCTACTAATAACTTGCACAGGAAATGGGTTCAAGGCATCTGTATATCACAAGCCAACCTTCACCAGACAATACCTCAACTTCAATTCTCACCATCTATACAGTACAAGCAAAAAGTCTACAACAGGCAAAAATCATGAATGGCAAACCAGACATACCAACAAGAAATGATCAACATCAGGTATACCTTTCAGAATAACTACCACCCTCCAAGCATAACATCAGTGTCTGCAGGGGGAAACAGAAGGATCAACGAGGAAGACCATAAAATTGCCTCGATCTATCTGCCTTATGTCAAGGATTTATTGGAAAATATTCAGATGATCTGCAGTCCATGCAACATCAGGTTGATATTCAGAAGCAGATCCAGTGTATGGCAAAATCTATGCATATAAAGTATAACATATAGGGAGAACATGACCAAGAACTGTGTATGCTTCATTCCTTGCAGTTGTGGCAAAGAATATAATGGTGAAAAAAGTTGTCCCCTAAAGGTAAGGCTGGAGGAACATTGAAAGCTCCTGTGGAATGAAATGAAAATACTCAACAAGGAAGAACACTGGAGGGTTAGATGTCTGAAAGAATCAGGCTATGAGGACCACCTTAGTAGGCCTAGCATAGAAATACCATATGATATGGGACCCACTAATAAAGAAAGATAAATGACATAAAGTCTTCAACAGCAGCAGCTGTAACAAAAGAGAAATGCTTCAGTAAGTGCAGCATTGCCCTGTTGCTGCATGCTTTGCTGAATGTCACTCTTACTCTGGTCTGTGTCCATTAGGCTGTCTCTGGTGAGCCCATTTTGTACCAATCCTGTGTCACCAGATTGTGTTTTTGTGTTTCAGTATATGCAGGAATATTGGTGAAGAACTGTCAAAGATCAGGCTTGACTCCTCTCTGTCCTGGTTATGCTAGAAATTTAATCAACTTCAACACTCATTAACAAGTGTAAAAATAACAACTTTTATTTATGATACTATGATTGAATAAGATCATGAATGCATAAACAAAGGGATTTGAAGAAGTTTCCCCATATAAGGAATTCTTAAGCTGGGAGGAAGAGTTTAACCAGTGGTTGCAGCTATGGCTAAACAGCCCAGAGTTGTTCAACTATTTAAATGAAGGCAGTTGATTGCGGGAATTCAAAAAGTGGTGCAGGGTACAGGACTTTAGCTGATTTGAGGATTCACGGTTATCCAGCAGGGAGAGTGTTGGCCTACTAGGCGTAAAACCAGTTCAATCTTATTTCTGCTCTTTCAGCAAATGCTTTTATGGGGGTGCAAACTGAAATTGCACTGCTCTGATTGGCCAGCCAATAATAATGCTTGACCAATGGTTTTGTGTCATACATCTTGAAGGAGAGGAAGGAAAGCTCCCAAGGACCCAATATGATTGGTGTTTCAATCAAAATAATAGCCCTGTATCGTAAGTATCAAAGGGGTAGATGACAAGCTCAATCCCAGCCCTTCTCTCATTGGTGGGCCAATCAAAATTGTGTCCTTGCATCACTCATATCCACCTTCAGTGGAACATTTTCATGTTCCAGAAGCTCTCATTTGACCTGATTATCATAGGTGTCATCATCAATTCTATCTGAAAGTGTGTTATGTCCCTGATCAAAACAAACCTGACCCATTGTGGTGAAAATGGCTTACCTCGGAAACGCGTGTGAATCTGTGCAGTGTGCAAACTCTGGTCCTCCCAACGGTAAAAGGAACCAAAATGGTGGCGCCCATATTTTATGCCGGGCGGTCTCGGTTAGTTAACGCGAAATCTCGTTATCTCGTCATTCGCATGCAAATCGTGGTCGGTCCTCGGCTGTATAAAGCAGGCTCGTTTTGCTGTTTCGGATCAGAGAGCTTTCGGCTCATGAGAAGGTTGGACGTGCGACACCAGTTTCTTTGTTCCTACCTGCTATCATCAGTTGAGTTGTTGCGTTACCTCCCACACCCATAAAGATCTGCTCTGTGTCACTCATTCCAATGAACAATTCCTTTATCAGATGAAAACAGTATTTGTTAAACAGACCTAAGACTGTACCTAATGACCAATTTCACCTTTCACAATATACTCCATAACTGACACAAACCAGATAAGTCATGGTATTGCATTGTTTTAACATGAAAATATTTTTCTTTCTTTAGGAATAAAAAGTAGATTGCTAGTCAACCTTTGGTACCAGTCATGTTCTCATAGCAGTCAAGCATGACTAGTAGCAGTCAGGTTAGGTTTAAGATTCCAAGTTCTCCACAAAGCTTCAAGCATTGGTTCATGAAATTGATGACGTAGTAACTGTAACTTCAATCTCTGGGTTGGGAAGTGTATACTTGTAATCGGTGGAAACGAGCATACAATAAATGAGCAGTACTAAAAATAAGAACTAGCCAAGATATTCCTAGATATAGACTGGAGAACAAGAACAGTCTATCCTTGTAGATTAAATAAAAGGTTCAATTTGGAATTCTCTGTAAGTTACCTGGATGAAAAGCTGGAGAGCACAATAACTGCAACATTGTGATAATAACAAAGATGAGGGCAACAGTTCACATGTAGTCTAACTAGTAATGTTAATTTTATTTCCAATCTGATGGTTCTCCATAAATAATCAAAACTCGAGTGACTGAAAAAATATTAAGTCTCCAACAAGCAGTGTAAATATTGTTAAGAGATGTTGTCGGTGAAGTAATGCATTAATGTCTGATATATATGACTTATAAAGTATGAAATAAAAGGCTGATAGAGTTATACTTAAAAATTGTCATTGTTTTTATTTAGGATCTGGGATATGGCACGGGCAAACGCCAAGAAAGGCCAGTTCCTGCTGAAAGAAAATCTCGAGCTGTCCAACGCCAGGCTACATTAGAAGAAGTAAGTTTTGCATTAATTTGGTATAAAAACAAATATAGGACATAGTTTTTATTTCAAGACTATTGTATTTTTGTAAGTGTGTGTGTGAGGAGGCTGAAAGTTCATTAAAAAATTGTTACTTTTTAAGATTTTTGACATATTTTAAAGCCATTTTTAGTAAAACACCAGTTCCTAAATAAAATGTTGATTTTATAAAAGGTTGTAGGTTGTGAACCAGGTAATCAAAAACAGTCTGTCCAAAGATCCATGTGCTCATAGTCCATACATGAGATAAAGGGAATATTTAAGTATTTAGAGTTGACCTTACAAGAGGGTGCTGCTGAAAAGTTCTTGGTCTGGCCAAGAAGGAATTTCTGAAAGAAATTCTGATGTTTTAGTTATTTGATAAGATTTTGGGAAGTGGAAGTGGGTTGAATAATTTTCAGCAGCACCCTCTCATATATTGAAAGAATAAAGAACTGATTTGGTTAGCCTGTTTTATTTTTATTTTTAAAGTATGTTAAAAGATTTAAGATATATTTAGGTGTTTACAAGATTGTACCATTTTGAAAAAATAATTATAATTCAACTGAATTTTTGTAGATGTCAACCTGTTTAAAAGATGTCTTAATCAATTGATGCTTTTTTTCTCTTCCACTCAGCCTGAAAAAGTGGATCTTGCGTTGATTATGAAGTTGCAAAATCGTATCAAAGAATTGGAGAAGGAAATCAACCGTCTCAACACAGAACGAGAACGTGAAGAGGAAGAAAACAAAGACAAGGAACACACTGTGTACAATTCTCTTAAGGTTCCTATTCCATCATTTTTTTCCTCTTTTGTCAATGAACCATTTCTGTTGATTTTCAATGATATTCTTTTATTTATTTTTAATTCATTTCTAGGCACAGTCATGGAAATATCTTTAGTTTATCAAGATTATTTAATATCACCTTTACAATAGTTTTTGAATACATTAAATAGAACCTTGAGAATTAAATTTAGCATTCTTACAGTCAATTTGATAAAACACAAACATTTGTATTCTACCTGTGTGTTGGTGTATCAGTCATAATTCCTACTTAGATAGATTTTGAGACAGGAATTATGATGCATTTAAAAACTTAAGAACATATTTGAAGCTGAATATAATAAGAAATATTTGACAATTGGAATATACATTTCTTAAATTGAGGGGTCCTTGGAAAAAATCTGTAATTGCATAAGGAGTTCTTTGTTGGGATTGCTACATTCAAAACTTTAAATTTTACTTTTTGATATTTTTTTCTTTGGGATGTGTGGATTGTGTAATGGATAGTGGCTTGGAATAAAAAAATCAGAGAACTGAGTTCAAATTCCAGTAGAGTTTGTTACTTTCACTTATATGCGATTGCACTTGGGAAAGGTATAAATTCACCTCTTCTCTCCACCAAGCTGTGGGTTAAATAGTAGAATAGATTGACCTCTTCAGCCTTGGTTGGCAGCCAATCTAGGAGAAGGACAACTCTGAGTTCAAAACCATAGATAGCTTTGGTAAAGCACAGTTACAGAAAGGATCCTGGTGCTTATGATGACTCTATCCTCCTAATACTGGTCAGCCTCTTTTACTTTCTTTTTTTCTCTGATTTATCTTAAATGCTGATAAGCTTAAAATGTTTAATTGATAAAGACAAAATACATTCATAGCAAAATACTAAGAATATTTCAGATTATTTTTAATGATCATTTTGATTATGAGGATGAATTAATATTTACTGCTGAATTGAATGCATTGACAAGAAAGGAGATGACGTTGAAAAATTTGTTATGTGCAAATCTTTAATATGTATCAATGTATTTAGATTTTTAGTCGGTTTCTTTGATGATTTCAATCATAGTTTGAACTCCTAACTTCAATGATTTAACATATTTAAGAAAGTGTTAAAATTAGATAGATCAAATTTCTTATATTGTTGAATAGTCTGTTCATTTCCTGTTTTGTCTTATTTTTTAATATAGATGCAGGAATTGGAGAATGATAATGATAGAATGAAGAGAGAGATAAGCAATCTGATGGCAGCCCTCTCTAAGAGTCCCAAATACGAAGAAGGAATCACAGAGGCAGGAAAAGCTTTCAAAGGTAACATTTTACTTTCTCCTTAAATTGTCATTGTTGCTATATGTCTTTGTTCTACTGTGATGTCTCTTTTTTGTTTTATATTTTTTTATTTCTTGGAAGATCACATAGCAGACTAGTTTAATTTGTGAGAAAATTATAACACCCAAGGATTCTATTTTTGTTGATAAAAAAAATATATATATTGTATTGAAACACTATAAAGTTACTTATTTCATTTATTTTTTTTTTCTCTCCTCCACCACTAGGAATAGATATGTTTGACTATTATCTGGATCACCTTCCTCCTTGGTCTTTTGAACAGGTGTAGAGATTTATCCCTGGCTTCCTGTTCAGGATTGGGTTTTTGGTTTCTTCTAAAGTCTACTTTGGCTCTATACTTCTAATGTTTGTCCTTTTCTTCTTTTCTATGATAATATAACTCCACACAGTAACTCACCACCTTGATTGGTTCCTGAACATTGTATTGGGTGAAAATTTGTGTGTGTGTGTGTGTATAAAAAAAAAAAAAAAAAAAAAAAAAAAAGTGGGGGGGTAGTAAGGGGAGTCTTTATTCTTTACAGCAGTATCTGGAATTCAGAATCAATGGGACAATTAGGCACTCTTTTTTTTTCCTTTGATCCAATATACAATTGTTTGAGGCCATTGCTTCATTCTGTATGAAAACACTAGTAAAAAGCTGTAGAATGTTTTTATAATATTGTATTGCACCAAACTTCAGAGTACAGCCTACTTGTAAAAAATTTAAAAATTATCATTTGGATTTTATTCTGACTGAAATACTGATTCTGACATTGGAAGAAATTTTATTTGTATGTATTAAAATTTCTCTAGACATTGTCAAGTGCAATAGAATGTATATGGCACTTGGGTTATCAAATAATATCAGTGAAAAAGAAAGAATTTCTATGTGTAAATAACAAATCTTTATAATAAGTATTTGAATTTGGATCAAACTGAAATATTTGATTTATTCCAAGTAATGACTCAAAAAGTCTTCTACTACATCGGATTTCACAAATTTATTTCAAAACATTCACTTGACCTGTTTTATCATAATTATGCATCTTTTTACATTGAATATTTATCAAAAATATTTAGACAAATGTGAATAAACACCTGTAAAATTGGCACCTATAATTTTGTAAACATTATTGAAATGTAAGCATATAAAATGACAGTCACATGTTAGTTTTGAGCCTGTGAAATTGTTTGAATATGGCCACTTGTTATGTGGCTGTTCCTTCACTGACTTACTACTGAATCAGAAAATCATTGTAAATTTTCCAAAAAATATTTTTTAAATGTAATGCTAATTTTGAGGATCAGTTGTTTATTTTTTTCTGTTTGGATTAAGCTAATGAAAAGGATCTTGTAAAAGAAACAAATTGGATGATAAAAGCTCTTGTTTGTAGTTTTATGAATATAAAAAAAAATGTACACACTACCAATGAGAGGGGGGCATTTTCTGGCTATATTATAGTATATGACAGTGATGAAATGTGCTTTTATTTTTAATCAAATAGATTTAGAAATTGAAACTTTAATCTTGCAGAACAATATGACACAATGGTGGAAGAGCTTGAACGAAGACGTGCTGAGATCTTGTATATTAAAGCTATCTGGCTGGAGACAAACATCGAGAAGAAGGATGATTTACATGCCAAACATGGTGGAGAGGATGTCAGTGAGGAGGAGGAACTGAAGACAGCTCTGCAATTCCATCAAAAACTTAACAGGTCAGTGGTGTAGATTCTTTGGATTTGGTTACATGCAGTATCTTCTTGGTAACGTTTCCCTGGTGGTCTGTCCCACAATCAACATCTCCTCAGTGTTCATGAAAGGATAAGAGTTAGAAACACTTTCTTGAGGCTTTATTGAGGTAACCAGGTTGGGAAAAAGAAAAATTATCATATTTTTTACCTTGTGGTTTCAGAAGATCATATCCTGATAAAATTCCCTGTTTGTAAATTTCTTGTTTAATAATCAGTCATTAGTCTATAGTAATTTTATATTCAGAAGGATCAGATGGTGTGACTGAACAGTGTTTGCTTGAATGTGTGTTGATTTAGTTTTTCACCCATGATATTTAGTGTTGCTATAATGTTTATTTGATTTTGTGTTTTTTGCATTGAACCTGTTTGCTTTCTTGACTTATTTATTGTTTTTTTTTATATAATCCATACATTAAGTTGAAAAAAGAAATCCTTTTTCTCCAGTCATATTTGAAAACCTCAATCTTGTAATTTCTGTCAAAGGAAGATGACATTCTGTTACATTGCTGAAAGTGACACATGTAGCTTAAAATGCACTTTTCATTATCAACTGACAGAGATTATAAAGTGATTGTAGCAAACAAGCTTTGAACCCAGACTGTGTGTATCTCTCTGTCTCTCTCTCTCTCTCACACACACACACACACACACACACTGGATTTTTGGTTTGGGGTGATGTTGCCATTGTAAAATGAATTTTCTATCCACTCTTCTTTTTATATAATAATATTATAGACTCTTTATTTTTGAGTCTTCTTCATATATCTGTCAAATTCACCAAGTTTTAGGGAATTTCAAATCTGATCCTTTACTTGATGCATGGAGGCATATTGTTTTATTTCCCTTACCTGTGATATCAAGTCATGCAGGACTCTAACTTGCCAGTGTCCTGTTATAAAGAACTGATGGTTACTGAAATTTCCTAGGATACTGGCTATAACTGGAAAGGAAAGAGAAGCTTATACTCTTGTCTATAATAGATATATGGTTCTGTTCAAAATTTCTATTGATATATTTGAATTGACAAACTTTTGTCTTTAGTTTCCTTTGGAATTATTTCATTTGTTATGAAAGATCATCAGAAATTGCTTCAAAACTGCTGTGTTAAAAAACTAAAAACAAATTTAATGAAAATAAAATGTTGAAGTATCTTTTATATATATATATATATATATATATATATATATATATATATATATATATATATATATATATATATAATTACTGCATTTTATCCATCCAGATAAAAAATCTTGATAGATAAAATGTAGTAATATAATGAAAGTTCTGTCTGACCAAAGAAATGCTTACAAAATAAATAAAAGAAATATAAAAAAAAAATCTGTTTGATTATATTTTGTTGTAAGGTAGGTTGAGTTGAAAACATTTTAGTACTCTTTATATATGTATATATCTTGCACACTGAGTGCTAGTGAATAAAATAGTGCTTGATGTAATATAACAGAGCTATTCCGTGTGTGTGTATATATATATATATATATATATATATGATCTCCAAGTATAGGATTGGTGTATACAGAATAAATTCCAATAACCAACAATTACTATTCTTAAGGATTATGATACATTAGTTAAAAATATTCTGATCAGTAGCTACAAAAAAAATTGATACTAATAATTTTAACCAGATAGATAGGATTAACTGTATCAGTAAATCAATTACTGATAAGCTACAGATAAGTGATCGGGTCAGTAATATACAAACATATATAATATATGTCTTGTTAAAAGACCATATATTGAATCCGAGATTTAAAGCCATCTACTAGGCTTATAAACCCTACTAGACCAGAAATCGGCAGAATCAGTAAGACTATCTTGGAAAGAACCAACCACTCCATAAAAAACACCCTTGGACTATTATAGTGGATTAATACAGCTGATGTTATTAACTGGTTTAATACCATCCAATATAAGGACAACTGTACTTTCATACAGTTCGATATCATCGACTATTATCCCTCTATATTGAAGAATCTATTCACTTTGGCCTTGGATTTTGCTCGGGAATACTCCAATATTTCTGAGAGTGAAGTGGATATTATCATGAAATGCCGAAATTCTGTTCTGATCTACAAGGATGAACAGTGGACCAAAAAGTCTTGCAATGATAAGTTTGACATTTCAGTGGGTTCTTTGGATTCTGCGAAAGCTTCTGACCTGGTTGGATTATTTCTTTTGTACAATTTAAGTGCTTTCGATTGTCTAGATTCTGATAGTGTAGGATTGTATAGAAATGATGGCCTATTAGTTGTTAAAAACTCCACTAAAATTAAGGTAGACCATATTAGGAAAATGATCCATAGGGTATTTAAGGATTTAGGTCTTAGGACAATAGTTACAACAAATGTTAAACAAGTAGATTTTCTAGACGTCACCCTAGACCTTGCTAGCAACGCTTTCCAACCATATGTGAAGGTTAATTCCAACCCAATATACGTGCATCCAAATTCCAACCATCCCCCTTCAGTTATCAAACACATACCCTCTTCCATTGGATTTAGGATTAGCACTAACTCTTCTAACAAAGATGTTTTTAATAAACATCGGGTTTTTACAATTCTGCCCTCAAAAATAGTGGATACAAAGATACCACTATTCAATATAAAAACCCTGTTAATTGCAACCATAATAAGAAAAAGAAGATCTAGAAAGATCATCTGGTTTACTCCCCCTTTCAATATAATGGTTAAAAACTAAATTAGACATATATTTCTAAACCTCATCAAGAAACATTTCCCCAACCCTGAAACTAACCCACTTAGTAAAATATTTAATCCTAATACCCTTAAATTAAGCTATAGTTGTGCAGATAACCTAGAGAAAATAATTAAAAAACATAACAACAGAGTCTTTAACAAGTATAGGAACTCAAAAAACTTGATTACTCACCAGGTTGCAAGCAGCAATACTAAGTATAATGACACAAATAACAACTTATGTAATTGTAGGAATCCTAATAATTGTCCACTAAAAAATAATTGTATGACTAGTTCTGTAGTTTATCTTAGTACAATCTCAACACTAGAAAATCCAAATATAAAAAATTTTTACATTGGTAGCACCATGAAACCATTCAAGGAACGTTGACAGGAGCATATGCAATCTTTTAATAACAGTAACTATAAGTACATGACTTCATTATCCAAGTATTTTTGGAGTCTAAAAGAAAAGAATAAAACACCTACGGTTAAATGGAAATTGATTAAGAAAGCCCGGACATGTAACTCCCTATATGCCCCATGTTACCTATGTCTTAACGAAAAATTTGAAATAATTAGATTTAAAAATAAGACTGATCTCTTAAATCAAAGATATGAACTAACAGTTAATTGTAAACACCGTTATAAATTTAATTTATTATAGGGGTTGTATACTTTCAATGATAATGATATGTCACTGTAAGTTTAATAGATTATTACTTTTATAACCTGATGGTCATCCTGACGATATAAATGTGTATTGTGTACCTACACAGTGTATATATGTGTATTGTGTGTGTGTGTGTATGTGTATGTGTGTAGTATGTATTTATAAATGTGTGTGTGTGTGTATTTATGTGTATTTATGATTTAGGTTTTATATATATATATAGTAAAAAGGAGGAGAAGAGGTTAAAATATATATATATATATATATATATATATATATATGTATACTAGCAGTAGATAATTTGCGTTATGTGGGATGTAACAGTAAGAGATAGATCAAGTATCGACCATCATAAAGACTGAAAAATAAAATTGACAAAGATTATTGTTTAAGGTTGACGGACATGCATGTCTTAATTAGTTTTTTTTTTTTTACGAATTGGTCAAACAATTCAAACAAAAACATTGTTTACAATCGTTATGAGTCTATCGATTGGTGAATAGAATTTTATTATAAACAATTGTCTTGTAAATGGAATTTTTAAAGCATTCTGAATGTAAATAAAAAAAAAGTGTGCAAGACAATAAGAAATACTACCTGCCAAAAAAAAAAAAGTGGATGTTTGTTTTATCGGCTGAAAAATGTAAGAAATCCGATCCCATATATAAAAGGAACACACACACACACACACACACAAACAAACAACCTGGGTTTTTAACCTAAGTCACTCCACGGAATCGCTAAAACATAGAGCATAGTCTGATGAAAAAAGACATAAAGTTTATGAAAACAAAATTTTATCGTCAAAATGCTTATTTTTTTTTATGAAGAGGATAGACTAAATTTTTTTTAATTATTTTTAAAAATTTTTCCATCTTTTTTTTAGAATATTCTAAATTTTGATTTAAAAAAAACCTTGTTTCTCTTTGTCGCAACAAGGGGTAGTAAATAACATAGATAATTTTTAGCGCGTTTTTTTTTTGTATTTACACACATTAATTTGGAAAATCTTACAAAAATAAAAATAATTGTCAGATGTTAATGAAACTTTCAGAAACTATTCACAGATGATCGAAATTATTATAAATATTTTTTTTTTTTTTATTAAAGTCATGGCAGAAATATTTTTTTTATATTTATTAACACCCCCATAACTAATTTTATGAAAAACTCTAGAAATTGAGACCATCGGTTTTAGTGATTACAATACTTAAAAGCACAAGGCTTTGAAGAATGCAAATCATTTTTTTTTTTTTTTTTTTGGCCAACGTACCTGAAAATCAGCTGTGAATTGTAACATACAAAACTCAATAAAACAAATATATTATTTAGTTTCAAATGCTTTTATTTGTTTTAATTTGTTTTTATGAATATGGACAATATTTTCTGAAAGCAAAAAAAAATTTTTTCAATGAAAATTGAATTTTTAATACAATTATTTCTTATTTCTTTAATTTAAAAAAATTTTTAAAAAAATGTTTAAATTGAATTTTAAAAAATATTTTAACATTGTTAAAAGCAACATCAACCTTTCAAAATGTCCGTGTGAGATTGTCATTGTCTAGCGCTTT